ACAGCTCTACTGCAGAGGAAAGAAGATTAATGGAGGGATCCAGGTTTTCGTTTTTTTTTTTTCTCTTGTCATCACCTTGTTTAGCCCGTAAGCTGCTTTGAGAATAACCAAGTGGAGGGAGAAGCCACGTGTGCCTGACAGGGAGCCTGTTTGTGCTTGTTTCATTGAGGAAATTGTTCCGGAACAGCTGCTCATCCATGTGAAAATGCAAACCCTTGGGTCCCAGCCAAGGTCAGCAAGCCCTGGGTCATTTGTTTTAGCAAAGCAGACCAATTTGCCCTTTAATTATCTCTCCTTTTCATTCTGTCACACCTCTTGCTCCATAGATTTACTTTCTGAGAAGTGCCACATGTGGAAGATGTGATACCAGTTTTGTTGTGGGTCAGGGGGAGGCAGAATGATTTTTCATGGGTTAATTTTAACTGTTAAGTTTTATTAAATAGAAAACATTTACCTCCCTGGATTTAACTTTTTGMTTAGCTTGTTTACTAGGTTCTTGCTATTACAATTACGGTATTCTTACTTTCAAAGTAAAAGTGCAGAATCACTAAATTTCGTATTGTTTCTCTGCTAGTGCAGGTATTATGGTGTGAAATGGTAAATTGGTGTGTGTTTGCTGGAAACAAGGCTGTGAAATTCCTGAGCTTCAGGAAATTTCCAGTAACTGCTCTCAGAATGGGAACTTCAWAACAAAGCCTGGTAGAGTTTGGTAATTGCAAAACAGGACTAGAAACCATGTAAAACATCTGCCCACGTGGTGGAGCTGGATGTGAAAAATATTCTACAGGGGGCATAATAATAAAGAGAGAAAAGCAATGTTCTGTAAGCAGTCAGGAAAATGGTATAGTGAAATAACTTCTTTGCCCTGTAATGTTATGTGGAAGAGAGAAATAGGAAAGAAGTGTTGATCTAGCTGGAGGAACTTAAATGCCAGATTCTGGCTTCTGTAATTTAAGGAAAGAAAACTGATTAAAGTGATCTTTAATGCATGCATTAAAGGTCACTTGGGAACAAGAAAAAAAACCTACTAATTCCAAAACTGGTTTTGTCAAGAGTTTTGAAAGTGTCATGGGTTGCAACCAAGGCTATAATTAGCCTTAAAAATCTTGGGACAGAAGTTTCTCAAGTACATTGTGACATTGTTCCTGAAGGAATAARAATGACCAGAAGAACTGTCAGTCTCTGCATGACAGGAACATCCTCTTGGCAGGGCGAGTGGGAGGCAGAGGTGGAAGGGAGCCCTGCTTAGATGTGCMATAAAATCACCCAATAAAACATGGCACACCAAGGAATAGAATGATTGTTGTCATTTTTGTTAGGCTCAGCGTGCAGGTGTTTCTTAAAAAGGCAATAGATTTGCAGAAYCTTGTTGGTTGTCTGAAATGGTTAAAATAATCAGTGCTCGTGCCATCAGAGGGGTGACAGAGCAGCACAAGGGAATTGTGTGTGGGAAGAGGAGGAAAGGCTCTGACTGGGGTGTCAAGCTGTTAATTAGTTCTGCCACAATATGAGGCTGAGTTGCTTCTTTTACTTATTTAAAGTTTTATTCCGTTAAACATTAATGTGTTAGRAATAGGAGAACTTCATGCTCTGTCAGCTGAGGGCAAGTGGGGTCTGGAGAGGTGGACATTGGTGCYTCCAGCCTGCTGGATCCTTTGGTTTTCCTCTCATTTCAGAGGAGGGGGAATCTTTTCCTTGCACCTGCATTCTGGGGCAGCTCTCCAGGAGCTGGTGGAGATGTTCTGTATTCCTGGGAAAGGAGCTTGGATGGAATTTGGCCACTGCCTTTGTCAGCAGAGGTGGCCAAGCTTTGCTGGCTCTGTTTCATCAGGAGCACAGGAGGCAATCTCCATTTGTTAACAGATTTGGAAAGTGCTACAGTGAGTTCACTTGAGTGTGCAGCATCTCTGATAGAAGGGATGGACCTTTTCTCATTTAAATAAAATTTATATTGAACCATGAGCTTCAGTTAAAACTTGCAAAGTTGTGATTCCCAAGAGCACACATTACTTAGATCCGTCCTGTGTGTGCAAGCAGCTGAGGAACATCCTTCTTTAAATTTCTGCTTTTTAACAGTTCAAAACTATTTGAAATAACAAAAAATACAAAAAAAAAAAAACAACCAACCTCAAAAACAAATGAACAAAATTCAAGCCAAACAACAGGCATGGTTTTGTTTTAGTGTTAGTTAGGGAATGGTTTGACAAGGAGAATCTTATGATTTCTGGGACTCATTGAGCTGTGGAGGTGGGGTCTTTATTTTGCTACCACTTGAAGTTGTTTTGATACCGCTGATGAAGGAATGCAATAATGTGTGCTAAAGTCATTTGGCTAACCCCGAAATCAAAGCACTGGAAACAAAACCTAGCTGCAAATCACCAGGCTGTCAGTCTTCTCAAACCTGTTATCCAAATGACTTTAACAGTTTGTGGGTCGTATGCAAGGTTAAGACTCAACTTGCAGGGTGCACGTTTTGATGATAAAACTCAATATTACTTTTTTTTTTTATTGGGGTGGAAGTGTTACAGTCAACAGTATCAGTGTGGGAGTTTGATTTCTTCCTGTGAGTAGATCTCTACTCCATATGAGCAGTTGGCACMAGGTTTGGAAGAAGAGATATGAGACATGCCRAGCAAAGTGCTGCTTGTTTGTTGTRTATRTCTGCTCTGTGCGTGGAAACTCCAAAACTGTTCCAGTTTTAAGCTTATTTCCAGTTTTGAGAAAGACTGGCCAATATGACTATGAGTGGACAGTGTTTCAGTGAGGGGACTGAAACAGGTTATACATAAATCTTCCTTCTATTGAGCAACATTTACATGCAATATGTGAATTATTGTCTGTTTAAATGGTGAACTCAGGAATTTTTTTATTTCATATTGAGAGTTTTTCTTGCAGTTTTTCAGGTCTGAGAATTCMTTATCAATGAAAGTGTCATATAACTTTTTACCTGTTCTCAAGGWTATTCTGTCCTGAAGAACTGAACAGCTCTTGATAATCCAGTGTGGATTAAATCCCAAAAAATTGTGTATTCAAAATATCGGCATTTACATTTTATGTGCTGTCCAGCTTAACTCTGGAGCAAAACTTGGCAATGTGTATAGACCAAAGTGGATTCAGAGAGAAGGAAAAAACTATATTCCTCAAAAGMAGTTTGCAGAGATTTTTTAATAAGGAAAACACATTTATTCAAACAATATTTCTGTAAAAGTCTTTCTGAACCAATTGTCACTTCATATTTTTGATAGATTTAAATAAAGCCATTTAGATGGCAGCTCCTTCCCAGTAATCACTTACGGCTCAGGCTGAATTTTTTCCATTGACACTAAAATTGTTGGCTGTCTGAGGAGACAAATAYTGTTGTGAGGGCCACAGAGTAAGAGAGAAATCCATATGAGCTGAATAATAAGTAATTTTTTTTCCCCCTTACTGAGCCTGTAGTATAGGTAAAGTAACCCACATAGTTAAGTGCAGGAAAGTATGAAGTGCAGCAAAACCAGACCCAAAATATTTAAATTTAAGCTTCAGAAGTCCCACGTGCCTTAGATACTTGATGCAGATTTACCATATTACAGATCTAGATGTGAGTAGTAAAATCTGTAGGTGCTGGTTAGGCTGTAAATAACTGGATAGYGAAAACAAACCAAGATGAGAGGAGATAAAAATAACTCCGATGGATTCCTGTGTGTAACTTGGATTTTGGGAGGTGGGAATTTCTGCTGATTGTACCAGAAGCAGCCTGAGGAGTGTAAAAATGCAGATGGATAGGGAATGACTGCTAATTTAATGTGGCCTGKTTTTGCTGATACCAGACAACAGACTGTGACTCAGTTTGTTGTTGGAGATTTCATTAGATTAGTCTAAATTTTAGGAGCAGTCACTCCTACAGGCCATTGCATCCCATCTGTGCCTGAAGTGCTTCATATGTTTTAGTGTTCAGCTGCCTTCCCTAGAACGTGATATGGGTTGGAGATGTTGGATGGCTTCTCCATCAGAGGAGGTGATGGAGTTACCTTTTGTGTTGTCAGTCAAAGCTGAAATTCAGTTTGCAGTGACAAGGAGCAGAGTCCTGCTGAGCTCTTCCCAAGAGTTTGACCATGGGGGCAAATGGGCTAATTAACAGGTTACTGTCAGATTTTGGTATGTAATAAGGAAGGAATGAAATTAATTTTTCTTTTCCAAGCAGTAAACTCTGATTGCAAACATCTGTCTGGTGTTCGGGGGGTTGGTTTTACTGACTGCWCCATGTGATGTTCCTGAAGTTAATGGGTGAATGAATGAGCAGTCGAGAGAACTATTTCCATTTTATCTAGACAGTTTCTTTGAGCTGTGAGGCTCCATTTCCAGAAGCACAGTGGTTATGGCACTTGCTTTGTTGTGCTTGTACTCAGTGCCTCAAAATGGAACTTGCATGTTCAGGGCTGGATTTCAGAGTGGAAACCATAAGCTTCTTGCTTGTATAACCACATTCCAAGGTTAGTCTGAATAGCTGAGATAATGAATTTGGTCTTTGTGCATTCTTAAATAGATAGATAGTTTTTCACATATGTGACTTTTTTTTTTCTTTTTTTTTCTGCTACAATTGGACGCTTTCCTTGGGAGCTGCCTAATTCCAGGCTGCACAGTTTCTGCTTTGTTCCCTGCTCCTGTGCCTTCGACAAGAATAACTTAACCAGAGTTCAATATAGGAATTGTGGGCTGCTAAAGGACATATTGTGTTACTGCTTAATGCTGTATAAGTTGATCAGTGGGTAATATAAAGTCTATGTTCTAGCTGTTTTATGATGAAAATATTATTTCAGCGGAATATATGGTAAAGTCATTGAACAATGATCTTATTCTCAGAATGATGGCACAAGGCTTTTTCCATATAGCAGAAATTAGTGAAGCTGCTCATTTTGTTATTGCAGGCTTCAAAAATAAAGCTATTTTGGCCGTTTCTGAGCAATTATGCTATTTTTTTAACTGCAAAAAGTGATATCTTATTACTCTCTTTCTATTAGGACCAGCAGAGGTTCCCATGATGTCACCCAATGGATCCATTCCCCCTATTCATGTGCCTCCTGGTTATATCTCACAGGTAAGCTCCTTTAAGAATTAAAATTAATGTAAAAGCAAAAGTATTGATCCACACAGAGAAGTCTTCTTGGTCAAAGTTTAATATAGAAATTTTAATGAAAATAATAATGCACATTTTTCATGCTCCTCCTGTTTAGTGATCGTACACACACATTTACACAAGTGGCCAGGGATGTGCACCCTCGCACACTGGTTTGTGTAATAGATTTGGGTTTTGAGCACCAGCAAAAGCTCTGCACCCCAGCTGAGCCTCTGTGTGCCACTTGTTTGTGAGAGGGAGAGAAGTCCTTGATGTTGGGTAATGCCTCAAATCCTTCTGTGACAGTCAGAAGGGGTAGGAGACTGTGGAAATGAGAGAAGGAGCCACCATGGCTATAAAATATGCTGTTGATCCTTGGTATCTTCCCATCAGAAATCCTGCAGCATACCAAGAACTGGGGCTTTTGGTGTGTTTTCAAGAATAAATGTGATTGAACTATCTATTTGTGGAAAAAGTTTTCACAAAGCTGTTAGGTTTTGGAACTCTTGAACAGTTACTGCTCTTCTGTGTAAATAACCCYGGATTACCAGATTGTTTCTGTTCTTCCATCTTCTGCAAAGCTTAGACTCTTTTTGAGGTAAGGAAAAAAAAAAAAACAAACCAAAAGATTGATGTAAGGTATAACAGCTGTGAGCARTACAATAAATCAAATAATTTCACCATTTTCATTGAGACCTGCACCAAAAGCTTCCTTCAAAGTATACAAAGTATTTCAGATATCCTTGAYGAATGGCATAAGAACTTTTGATAGATATAGTTTGGCATCTTTTATGCAGAAAATAGATGATGTCCTGGAATCTTTTCCCTTCCCCAGGAAACATGTGAGCTTGTGTAATTCTGAAAAATTGTGGATGGCGTCATACTTAAATCCCACAAAATACTGCAATCACTCTGTGGTATTTTGACTTCTGAACAGAGTGAAAGCATACTTCAAGTATGGGGGAAATTGCTAGCCAGCCTAGGAGAGAGGGCAGGATGTCAGGGTGGTCCTTCTGGTCCTCCTAAGGGGGTTGCTTGGAGTTTTGAGACAGCATTTGCTGCTTAATGCTCYTCATGGGCTCACCTGATTTAATAAACCAGCCCATACTGTGCAGAGGTTTTTCTAAAGATTTATTCTTCCTTTGAAATAACTTCAACACCTTTTTAATATTAAAATGTTTATATCTCTCCAACTCTGCGCTGGGATAAATGGTTGGGTATAATTGGAATGCTTTCCAAACCAGAGGGATGAAAGTCTTGCAGTTGTGTCTCTGTCTGAGCCCGGTTCTTCTGTAAAGCTTTTTGTGGGGCACCRTAATAATTCCACTAAAGAAGCCTTTAAGCAGTTTCTTAACCAGAAAAAAAATCCAACCAAAAACCCTCTTCTGAAGCAGTTTTTCCAGGGAGCTGGAAATACGTTGTAAAGTTTTAGGGGGAAGCTCTGTGTTTGGTGCTTTTCTGCAGCAGAATGTGTTCTGCTCTGTGGTGAGTGAGCTCTTGCCTTTCAGACTGCTGCATATTAAAKAGTAGTCAAAAGTCTGTAGTAATGAAATTAGTTCTTTATTGTAATAAATGTCTCTGCCTTATTTGCTCTCGCTTTTGTCTGTTGCTTTGTAGTTAAACCTGTTCATTTATGATAAACAATAAGAAAACAACTTAAATTCAACATGCCAAGGGAAAAGCCATAAAGCAAATTAATGCACCCTGGGATATGAATCAAAATAGMTTTGATTTTTGGTTTGATTTGTCCCCAAAGTGTACATCCAAGAGTCAGGCAGAAAGCAATACCCCTGTGGAGAAGTAACGGTGCCTGTTAAAAAAAGGCATGAAATGTTATTTCCATTTTGTTATGCCAAGCCTATGCGAGCTGTGAGYGTTAACCCTGAATATTACATGAGTTATTGAATGATTGCAACCCTGGATTAACGTGGTGCTTCATTACCTCTTCGGAAAAATTGGCAGAAGGATGTGAGCCCTGCGAGGTCAGCCCCGCTGGAAGCAGCACAAACACAGACTTTGCTTCTAGACTTCAAGGGCCACGTTAATAATTGTGACTAGAAGCTGGGTTTGTTGATGTTAAGGAGATGTTCCCAGTGATGAGGCTTAGCCAGGGCAGGAAATGATCCAGGATATAATAGAAAACAAATACACACCACCAGTTCAAACCTTTCATGCTATGGTTTTGCTCTCAAAGACCAGTTCAATCCTGCCAGTATTTTGCATTATCTTCTCAGCAGACAAACCTCTGTGYACCTCTGGCAGATGTGAACTATCAGATCAGAGTTCATGTCCCTGCAGTTCTTTGTGGGCTAAGGGTTGGTTAAATATAGACCAGAGGAAAAGTTCTTTGCTGTGCTCTTTGTGGACAATATTGCTGCTGCACAAGTTGTTTGGGGAAGGTGACACATGACAGAGAAATCTGCATTAAATTTGTGTGATGGTAACAATTTTGGCTTCAGCTGTTAAGTGAGTTTAAGGATTTGGATGCTCTATTGTTGAATTTGGGGACATCCTCATGGGTCATTATTCCTGCTTTTCAGTGTATGTCTGGGAGGAGTGAAGGAGGGTTTGCAGTGTTCTAATCAGGAGACTAGAAAAATTAAATATCAAAAAGCAGGATCATTAACTTGTTTGCTTAGTGCTCCTGGTTAAGGGTTGCTCTCTCTGGAGCAATTCCACTCAAATTTGAGAAGTTACTTGTCTGTAGATGGACATAAAATTTTGGTATGGAACTCCACTTCTGCTTTTATTTACAGGTTTGTTAATATGAGGTCTCTGCCATAGATATTTAAGACTAAAGGACAAATGTGCTGGTTGGAGGGAGGCTGAGTATTGGAAAGCCTCCTTTGGTCATGGGGTTTGTGTGGTGTGAGCTGTGCAATTCAAGGATGGTTCTGCTCAATATCCCTGCACCAAGCACATGGCATAACTTCTGGAAAGAGGAATGTCTTTAAATGACATTTAAAATGGTAGGAAAATCCTTGCAAATCAGGATTTTGGTCCTGGGTACGTCCTTTCCCTTAAGAGAGGTGTTATCCTCCAAAAGTATGTTTGGCAAGCACCAGGTTTCAGTGACAAACTCCTGTCTTTTGTGTGATTTACTGCTCCCAGAGCTGTTCTGGGTATTCTGTAGGCTGCAGTCAWTTGAGGCATCCTTTAACAGGATGATCCTCATTAAAGCTTTGAAAATTAGGAAGGTTGTGCGCATCTCAAATCGAGCAGCCATCAAGTGATGATCCTTTTGAGTTCCTGATCCTGAAGAACTGTATCATTGTAGATTTAAAGTACCCCAACATGTTTGCCAGCATTCTCGATGTTTATCTGTCTGTCTTCCACGTCAAAGGTATAGTTTTAATTTAGTGTTTGATTTAATACTGATGGATTCTAAAGATAGTGATGCAAACTTGCCAYGACTGGCGTGAACTTGGATTGGCATCTTTAAGAAATTAAATGAATAAATAAAATGTTGACATCCAAGTGCCTCGTGGATGAGCTCATTCTATGCTGGTTTTGGGTACAGATTGATTTATGAATGAAGTTTCATATTGGTTTATGAAATTTCCAAAGTATTGGTTGCRGTCCACCCAGTGGCCATGCTCCAGATGTCCTTGCTGAATCTAGCACGGTAAATTTAAGTGAAATAAGGGTTGTTTGGGGTCTTTTTTGAAAGAAAATAGGAATTACTTCCGTATTAAACTCATACAGGAAATGTGTGTTATGGAATGAAGGTGTTTGTGTTTCTTTAACTGGATCTCACAAAATACAGATACAATTTACCTGTGCACAATTAACATGCCTTTTTGCTTAGGATGTAATACTAAATTTGAATGGAGAAAAATGAGACAGCATATAGCAGTGTGATGTACTTTGAACAYGTGAATTATCTCTAGTTACTACAGTGATATCTGCACTGGAAAACAAATAACATTTAATTTAAAATGGCATTCCCAAAATGTGGCAGCCGATGGGGGAGGCAGTTTTATTGTGTGTGAGTAATGTTAACCCAGACTGCCCTGAAAGATCATCACCTACCTCATGTAGCAATTAAGCTCCCTAAAATATGTGAAAAAACCCACACAGAGCCATGCTATAATAGTATTGTTATTGAGGTGGCACACCAGCAAGCACAAAAAATACCAGCAAAAGACAATTTACCTACTAACTGTTTGAGAAAAACCCACAAAATAATGGAAGTTTATCTCTAGGTCCCAAATGACCAGAGATATTTGTTTTCTCTAAATATAAAGTGCTAAAATTAGGAATGGCAATTACTTTTAATATTCCAGTTGCATCTAGAGACCTCAACAGGGATTAGGATTTTGTTGCTTCTTGGCACTGAAGTAGAAACAGTTTAGCAGTGTGTTTCCAGATGAATTTATGTTCTTTGTGATAAATGGTTTTAAGCAGATACAAAGAAATGCAGATTTCTTCTTAAAATAGCAAAGTTGAACCTCTCTGGTAAGTTATGTTATTTTCATTAATGGACTAAACCTGATTTTTTCTGCCTCTGATGAGCTGAGTGTTGTCTGCCAGAATGGCACTACTACAATCTACTCACTGCAGGTTTTACAGATCAAGGGTTGTCTCCAGCTACCTAATGCAYATAATGCATAATAAATCAGATTAAATACACTATTCTGTCCTTAACAAATCAAAGTTGGTAAAGATTGTATGTACAGCTTCAGAAATATGTGTATATCAGTAATTCCTAGCTGAGAGAGAAAATGCCCTGCAGGATTGGGAAATCAAGTGGGTTTTGCAAGGTCCCCTGTGTTTTTGTGTTCATTTGTGATGTAGGCACATGGAATAACAAGAATTCTGTCAGCATTCATRGCCTGGGAGGAAACAAATAAGAGAGATAAGTGTCTTGGCTTTTCAAATAAAATTATTTGGAGGCCTGGCTCATCCTCTGAGCTGGAGTAGTTGGTCATTGTAGGTTCCTCCCCACTGAAAGTTTCTATTCTATCCCCTCATCTCTGGCTCCTGTCAGTCCTGTTGRTATTTTATACCTTCATCTAGCAGGATAATTTTATCAAAAAGGTCTTTGACAGGACCCTGAGCTTTCCTCCCTGCTTTATGGATGATAGTTCAGGAAGCTGAAGCCTAATAATTTTAAATGTGGTTTACATTATGTGCTGCTCAAGCTTCGTGTCTCAATCTGTTCCTTAATATATTCATCTTTCAGCAGAGCACAAAACACACATGTAGCTGGTCTAGATGCACAGATAAGAGCTTGTACTCGCCTGGAAAACTGGAATTGAGACTTTGAGGCTTGGACCAGTGAAAGCCACAATGAAAACCTTCCACATCACGATGTAGGAACTTGCTCTCTCAATTGAGTTACAGCATAATCCAAATGTGAGACTTAAATCCAGCATTTCTGTGCACAGACCTAGATAAGTAGTTCTGGTTTTCAAATATGTGCTAAATGGAAAAGGATTTCCCTCTTTTCCAGGTTTCAGAGTGCAGGTTTTGAGACCTGGCAGCAGGATAAGAGATGCTGTGAAGTAGAACCAGTGGCAGAGATGGGAAGCCTGAAAATGCAGCAGTTGAAAGGATGTGATAGTCTAAATCTCTGAGGTTCAGCTGTCTTTGGAGGACTCTGCTAAGTCTTTGAAATTTAAAGCTGGCAGCTGACAAATTGCTAGTGGAAGTCGTAAATTTTGAGGGTAGAATGAAGTATGTTAAGCTAAACAATTACTGTTCTGGTTGCTCAGCAAGCAAAGCATTTTTAATGTGAAATACCATTACAAGTGAATGAATTAACTTTCTATAGAAAATTGTCTTGTGTAGAGGCCAGCCAAAGCACARGAATTGTTGGTGACCATGGTTGATATTTAAAGCTGACA